AAAAGGTTAAGAATGATGGAGGGATAAAAATAAGGGATAAGAAGATCGCGAGATTCCCTTTAATCTGCCCAAATCCCGCGTAACTCTTGATATCTCTCATATTCGCCTGATATCATATAATATCCCCCTTAATCTGACCAAATCCACCTAAATAATATTATCATTGACTTTCCACCCGAGCCTCCAATTAATCCATTTGCCTTACAATAATAAGAGGGATATAGGAGGATGGGATATCAAGGGTATCAAGGGGTGAGTAGAATATCGGAGGAATAAAGGATTTAAAGTGATTAGGGTGCGGATTTAATTGGTCTCTAGTCAACCCCCTAATCCTGTTTATCCCTACGATCACTGATATCTCTTAAGACTACCATAAATCCATTGAATCCCATTATATTATCTCAAGATTAACCCTTATATCTCCATATTGCGGATTGTTTACTACTCTTTTAGTTATTTTAAAAAATTTCGATTTTCGATTACCGATTTTCGATTTTCGACGTTTTTTTCTGCCGATTTTCGATTTCCGATTTTCGAATTTTTTTATAAAATTTCGATTTTCGATTTCGATATTTTTGGATTTCTTTCGATTTTCGATTTCCGAATTTCGAAGATATTTTTATTTCGACGCAGCTCTGCTCTCAAAGAGCAAATAGGCTCACTTATCTGATCGCATTAGCCATATTCACTCAGCCTTAAGGCGGTTCTAGGAAGAAATGTGCAAGCAATTAAAGCTTTGAGTGAATAGGGAATAAGGGTTCAGTTGACTAATCTTCTCTTCAATTATTGTGCAGCATTATTCCACCGACCAGTGAAGGAAGTATTATAATCCTAAGGCTGCGCAGTAGGCGGCGTTGTGTAATGGCTAACACATCAGTCCGGTTTACTGAAGATGCTGGTTCGCTCCTAGCCGCCGATTAACCTTTTGACTAGTTAAAGAAGAGAAATAGCTATAGCCCAGCTGCTTTACTAGTGTATTAAAAAAATTTTCTTACATTGAAAAGTACCTGCTTTATCATGTTTTAGGCAAAAAATATTTTGGAAATATAAATAAAATATATTAATTTATTTCAGACAAGTGTTAATAGGTTTAAGCAAAAATTTATCAGAAGCTAGCATTATGGTAGAAAAAAATATTTATATTTGTTGGCATCTATTTATATTTATTCGTAAAATATATTAATTTATTTCAGACAAGTGTTAATAGGTTTAAGCAAAAATTTATCAGAAGCTAACATTATGGTAGAAAAAAATATTTATATTTGTTGGCATCTATTTATATTTATTCGTAAAATATATTAATTTATTTCAGACAAGTGTTAATAGGTTTAAGCAAAAATTTATCAGAAGCTAGCATTATGGTAGAAAAAAATATTTATATTTGTTGGCATCTATTTATATTTATTCGTAAAATATATTAATTTATTTCAGACAAGTGTTAATAGGTTTAAGCAAAAATTTATCAGAAGCTAGCATTATGGTAGAAAAAAATATTTATATTTGTTGGCATCTATTTATTTTTGTTCGAACGCTTATTACGGAATTTATTATGTTTGATAATACAATACGAAATGTTTATAATGTGGAATTGGATAAACGAGCAAAAGAAACAGATCTCTAGTATATCTTTTATTAGTTAAATCTAAAAATTAAAGTTACCGTATTCCCCCCCCCCCCCCCTCGATTAATTCCCCTCCCTCGAATAATTCCCCATGCTAGAGTTGGGTTGAAACAATAATTCCCACACTCAAGTACACTACTGAGCGTTCAAATGCCAAAACTCGAATAATTGTCCCCCTTCGATTAATTCCCCATGACAAGGAAGGATTGAAAAAATAATTCCCCAACGGAATCAAGACTAGCTGAAGTGTCTGTCTTTCAGATAGCCATTTTAGTGAATAAGCCATCTGAAAGTTCTGATTTTGATTAAGTTTTTTAACTTTTTAATTACCCAAATATTTATTTTAATAAAATTTAGCGAGGAAATTTCGATTCGAACTTATTTGGAAAATTATGATATTTTTGAAGTAAAGGCAAATGAATTCCAAAAAATATTTAACCAAATTAACCAAGCAATTGGTCAAAATAAACTATTAAAGCTGCAAGATTTAAAATTTGAATCTACCATAGTATTGAAAAGTGAAATAGTTCGAAATGAGTATATCGAAGTTCATCCTGAAATGGAAGTCTATTGGCCATTAATTTACAAAAATGAAAAAGGTCTAAAGAAGGCTAAAGGTCAAAACATTATTTTTGTATAAAACCAGATCTTACTTTTATTATACGCGCTTTGGGCGGCACGCGGACATATCGGGACGGACATATCGGGATATTTCAATGTACGATTTCAGGACCTACGGCCACTGGGTCTTGGATAGTATATTGTCCTGTTGAGGAATATGTAGACTTTTCATGTTTTAGAACAAATGTATGTCCGCACACCCTTTGGGCGGGACACGCCTAAGTAGGCGCGCGGCCAAGTAGGCGCAAAGCCATAACTACCTGAAAAATTTATGGACCTTAACAATTTTGGTACCATTCTCTTTAACCCGATGAGAGGAATCGTTTAATACCAAATTTGGTAAGATTCGGAAATTTTGAAGCAGGTTATGACTTTGCGCCTACTTGGCCGTGCGCCTACTTGGGCCGACCCCCTTTGGGCATATTATAATATTGATATTAATTCTCCAAATGATCAGCTATTTTTTGAAGTACAGTAAGCCGGTTTTCCGTTGATTTTGGGGTTGTGAGATCTCAATGAAGCAGATTTCGTTCTTTTTACTTCTATACTCGGTATTGATGGAACTGTTTATAGAAATTTCGTGGAATTTCTGGATCACTTATATCATAGAAAAACGGATTAGAATACTATTCTTATAATTTTTAAACACCCCATTTTTCAAAAAAATGCTCATAAAAATTTTCGAGTTCAATGAAACTCTTTAAAACTTTCAAGATCCTAATATTCAAGAATATTTACTAATAGGAAAAATGGGTCCTACTTGGAAGTCTTATAAAATGGGTCCTACTTGGAAGTCCTACTTGGGTAGTCTTATAATTTTGAAACTGGGTTTATTAAATATATTTTAATAAAAAGCTTTTTTTATCATTTAAGTTAATAGTATTTTTAATCTGACCGAAGAAGAATGTGACGATATACTCTCAAGTATGCACGATCCAAGCACTAATGAACCTCTTCCATTTTATGTGTTTTTCCATCAGTTGGATGATTTATATAAAAATATGTTTGATCACTCAATTCTGAATGAATTAGCTGCAAAAATTATAAAAAGTGCAAATCAAGAATATCTCAATGAAGATAATGCTGTTTTAATTCCAATTCTGAAAGATGATCAAATTCTTGATCAAGTTCCTCCTCATTTTCATGGAAGACTTCGTAACGAAGTGATATATTTCATTAAATTATAAAACTTTCTTTCAATAAGTAACGTTAAAACTCTAAAACCCGTAGAACCAGGGTTTTATGAGATACCCAGTTTCCGAGTGCCATGCCCGGAAAATACTGATTTATTATTTTTCTTCGTGCCCTTCTAGCTTCTATTAATTTTCAAAGTGAATTTTTTTAAAGAGTGAAAACCGAACCGTTGTATTAGGATAGCTCGGTTGACAAAACTGAGCTGGCCTAAATATTGACGAGTTACTAATTTACTCAATTCCTTTGGCTTATTTGGAGGTAGAGTTATCGTTAATCTTTCAGAATTTCAATGCATCGTTAAAAAATTTTTGTAAAGTAGAATAGTATTTATTTATCGTTGTAGATTCATAGTAAATGCAAAACTCGAATTTCGCAAATAGAAACACGTCAACGAGTAGCTCAATAACTATATGGACAACAAGGAGGACACGAACATGCCGGACATCAACGACATCGACAAGGACGCCAACAAGTATATCAACAAGGACGCCAAGAAGGAATTGAACAAGAACATGGGCATGATATACAAGTACATCAAGAAATGCAAGTATATCAACGTAGACGACATAGGGGTGAAAGACGTCGTGCAAATCGAGGACGCAATGGAGAAGGAAGTAAATGAAACGAATCGTTCAGATAATTTTTTGTTTTCCCTTATTTTCTACATACCTAATATTGAGGGTTAAAATAAGCCAGTAAATTTTAAAATTATAAGAAAGCCAACTAGGTAATATAAATCTTAGTTCCATTTTTTGGCGTTAAAAAACGTGCCAACCCCTTATAAAGTTGGGTACATATTTAAAATGTGGACAAGTTAAAAAGTTTTTACCAAAAAAGCATTTATACAGTCTCAATATCTGATAAATCCTTAAAGCTGAGTAAATCCTATTTTAATAAGGTTCGCTTAAGCTTGCGGGGATCGCTTAAGTTTTTTTAATTTATTATCAATTACAGCACAGATAAATAAAAATGAATATATTTATTAACGATCAGACCGAAGCGATCTATCACAAATCTCGGTTATTGAGATTGAAATTCTTTACGAATTAAATTCAATTTTAATACTGACTTATTTTAACCCGATATTTTGTTTTGGTTGTTAACAAACTTTTCTGTCCTTTAAAGTTTTAAGGCTTTTTCAGGGTTTTATTTTTTAACTACAAGAAACGGAAGTCGAAGAAGCATATTAGATAGATTATACATACCAGGGGTCGGCGCTAGTCCTACGAAATACGAGACACGAGATACGAGACTAACGTCACCCCTGATACCTACCACTTTATTATTTTAAATTTTAGTTTAGTTATTTTTTTATTTTATCCACTTGATTATTTAAACATTTTTGTTTTTGGATAAATATTTTGGGTATTTATTTTACAGCATTTTTCAATTTGAGTTGGTAAACTTTAAAATTTTCTACCCTCAGGTCTCTCAGACAATTAGGCATTCCCTCAACGTCTCTACAACCTATTTCACGGTTGTCATGCCAACAATATCTAAGAACCCTTTCATTAACAAATAAAAATAAAAACTTGATAAAAATAAAAAAAATTAACCCCCAAAAATGCCAAAAAAAGATATGGCCCTTTCTGACAATATGTGGCAATATAGAGATGTTTTGTTTGATTTGGACACTCGGTTAGCATAATAATTTAGTGAAAAAAAAATTTTTTTAATTAAATTAAAATTATATGTAGAATGCTACGATTAGCAGCAGGAGAGTCTATTGTCGAGAGGATAGATAATGTGGAGGATACTAAAGGGAATAATGGAGATAGAGGATTGTTAAGAATCACTAATTTACGCTTGATTTGGGTAAATATTTTTAGACAGAAAATTTTTTCAACTATGAAGAAAATGGGCTTTTGCAGACGTCCGGTCATTTTTACGGACGTCCGCATACTTTTGCGGATGTCCGCATCATTTTTGCGGACGTTAGCATTATTTTTGCGAACGTCCGCATCTTTCGTTATTTTTGATTTCCCATAAATATTTATTCATCAGCATAGTTGACCCCTTGGGTTAAAATTTTCTCCTTCAACTCCCGAGTAAATGGATGCTTTAAACAAACAGAAAATCCAAAACTACCCCATAAAAATATAAAATCCTCCCTTTTCAAATTGAAAAAAAATACTTTTAAGCATGCTGTAGCAGTTCCTCGTATAAATTTAAGTATTGGACATAATACAATAACTGGAATTACTACTCGTGTTGCTAAATCTGTATTTTACACTTAAAGAATATTTAAAATTTTATTTAAGAAAATTCGTGGGCAAGCAGAATCGCTTTATATAATGTCTAAAGGACTTTCTGGAACAAAATTTGAATTTGTCTTTACATGCGTTAATCCGTCTAGTGTAAATATTTATATTTTTTCTTCCAATTTAAGATACATTTATAGGGTGGTTGGATACTGAGGTACATAGTAGTTCTCATTCGGGAGTGGGATTAAGTAGGAAGTAAAGAGATGGAGGGATGAGGGGAGGGCCTTGAGGATTACTTTCAAAAGGCAGACCCACTAGGGGGAGGAGGGAATCAAATTCCCAAGTCCTTCGGGGACATATTACTCTTTAAATGAGGAGCCACTTCCCAAGTGATTATCTTATAATGAGATCAGAATAGATTTTCTCATAAAATTATTTTTTCTAGACCAAATTTTTCTCTACAGTTATTGGTATAAATAGAGCTTATGAAGCATCAAGAATGGTTTTAAAATAATTTAAATAAATATAGTATTAAAATATATTTAAAGTATCGCGAAATGAAAATGAGAACAACTTTACTCAATTCTGAGGAGAAATTAATTTTATTATCATTAGAAACACAATGTGACAGAATCGATGGTGTTTGGAATTTAAGTAGCGATCAAGTTCGTTAAAAAACTTGTTCAAAATATAAGCTCCCTTTTATGTAATAGGGACCAGGGTTGCCGCCCGAAACCCGAAACCCGATACCCGAAACCCGAAACCCGGCCTTTTTTTGTACCCGAAACCCGATACCCGAATTGAAAATTTTCCAACCCGAAACCCGTACCCGATATTTTTTCCAACCCGAAACCCGTGACCCGAAATTGGTTAAAACCCGAAATTTCTACCCGAAAACTTAGCCTTACCCTATTTTTTAAAATAAATTTAAAAAATTATAGAAAGAGATATTTATTTATAATTTCTTATATTTTTATTATGTTGGGCGGTGGTTGAGTGGGTAAGGCGATTGGCTCAATTTTTTCAAAGGAGTGGGTTCGATTTCAGGGTTGGAAATGAGACTTAAATAAGTTTTTTTCAAGAATAAATGTTTTTAAACTTGATTTTTAATTTAGATTTTTAAATTTTTTTAATATTTTAATCTTGAATACCATTAAAAATTGTAATTTAGTCATGAATTTTGCAAAATTTTCGCCTGCGGCGCATAAAATTAAGAGTTCCGGCTTCATGATCAACTAAACTTCAATAAAAATTTTTTGCCTGCGGTTCTGATAATTGAATTTTTCTCCTAAGGCCTTCTAAAATTCTCAAAATTTTCGCCTCCGGCGGTGAAAAAGCTAGAAATCTGGCTTAAGGATCATCAAAATTTTCACAATTTTCGCCTGCGGTGCAAAAATGGAAGAAATTTGGCTGCTTGGTCTTCCAAACTTCTCAAAATTTTCGCCTGCGGCGCTGAAAATGGGAGAAAATTAGATGCTTTAATGAAGATAAAGCGGAGGGATTTAGTATATAGTGGGATTTTACCAATAAATTGGGATTTTACGAAGATATCCCTCTTAATCCCCAAATCCACCAATGTCTCTTTAATCTCTTCAAATTTGCCTCTCTCTATATCACCCTATATCCTAGTAAGCAACACAGCTTGTCGCCTTACAATTTAGTTCAACAATACCCGAACACCCGAAAATAACCCGAATTTTTCGCCAAACCCGAAACCCGTACCCGAAATTTTTGCCAACCCGAAACCCGTGACCCGAAATGAAAATTTTATAACCCGAAACCCGTACCCGATATTTTTGCCAACCCGAAACCCAATACCCGAAAGGAAAATGCTCCAACCCGATACCCGAAACCCGTACCCGAAGATTTTTTGTACCCGCGGCAACCCTGATAGGGACCTAATCCTTATATCGTGAAAAATTCTCTATATTTATCTTTTCTAGTGTGATCTTTTTTAATAAACGAATTTTTAAAATAGGAAACAAGAAACTCTCCTTGTGTTGTAGTGAGAGCCTCTCTCTTTTAATATTGAAGGGAGAGACTGAGAAGAGACTCTCCTTATGTTAAAGGGAGATTCTCTTTATCTCTAAAACTCTCCTTATGTTGAAGGGATGACTGAACGAGATTTTTCTCAAAATCTCTTTATCGAGAGCAGAATCCTATTTCTCTCTACTCCTTTTGTCCACTATATAGAGATTACTATACATATTTAATTTTGCTAACCATTTTTAACTTTAAATCTTTAAGGGCAATCTGGGTATGATGATAATTACAAATATTAGAGTTGTTTGGCATGCAGCTTTAAACACACAGGTCTTAAACAGTTAAAAATATATATATCTAAAAATTCAGTATAATGTATCAATTCCATATTTACAACTAAAAAGTTGTCGTATTAGAGACTCTCGATTTGGCCATGCATTGGTCCTTGATACTTCTTTACAAGTAACTTTTGAATAATGATTTTTATTCCGGCTCAGAAACGAAGGAATCTTCGGTTCGGTTCCGAATATTCTAACTTTCTAGAACAGCAACCCTGAAGGTTGATAAACCTCTATACGACTTTAAAAAAATTTTGGGAGTTCTACGTGCTGGTCTATCGACACGTTATTTGAATATTCAAATAAATTTTATCATCAAAAATTTAGCTTCAGAAAAAGAACCTCCCTTAAAATACTCTAAAAAGGCTTCAAAAGACAATAAATACCGTATTAATTACTCTGAGTAATTATTGTTTCGCCCTCCCTCCGGAAAGGGTAATTGCTATAGGTGTGTTAATTAATAGAGGTTATTTTTGGAAGGCGAATTATAACTAATTTTAAGGCAGTAATTATTGTTTCAACCCTTCGCTCGAGTGGGTAACTAATAGAGTGGGGTAATTATTTGGGGGTGGGGTAATTAATAGAGCATATACGTTATTTACGATACTTTAAAGAAAATTTCATTTATTATTTATTTAGAGTGGAGAATATATTCTAGGGTTTCAAGTGAAGCCTGAAGAACGTTTAGAACATACATGCAAAACTATCCAAGCTTTACTCAATGCCTTTCAATCCTCACCCGTTTTTGGTGTCCAATATTCACGCCAAGATGTTGGAGGAATGGTGGGGGATGTTTTTACTGAACCGCCATCTATCCCTCAAGAAACGGAAGAAAAAGAACCTTTGGAAAAGCCTCTTCGAGTAGACGCGTTTGCGGTAGATTTTTTTGAATTTTTGGTTTTAAAAAGTTTTTAGGCCTATTTTTCTGATGGACCAATAAACGGTTCTGAACCTCGAGCAATTGTTTATTCAGAAGAATTGGGTGTAGCTATAGAACAATTAAAGCCAGGATTTACTATTTCTGACCTATGGGAAATTAATTTGGATTAATATTAACTATAAAAAAATTTTTTTAATTTTAATGTTTACTATCACAAATTGAATAAAATTGTTTAAAAATAACTACCCAAATCTAAAAAAAAATAATAAACTACCCAAAACTACCCAAATCTTTATCCACTAAATAAAAATCTTTGAACAATCAACTGCCTGAAATTTTAAAAATACTAAACTTAAATTTAAAAAATAATAAATAATCTATCCAATCTTCAATCCTCGTTTCTTGTAGTTTAAAAAATATAAGCCTGAAATCTAGAAGGGAAAGAAAAGTTTTTTAACAACCAAAACAAAATATTGGGTTAAAATAAGTCAGAAGGTTTTTCGCTGTTTAAGACCCACATATTATAATATACGATTTTTGGCCCAAAGTTGACTAGAGTTGACCGGTATCTGGATCATTTCCTCCCGTCCTTCTTCCTCTACGTCGGTGTCAGTATCATCAGGATAGTCGGGATCGTGATTAAAAACCTAGGGATATTCCTCGCGATCCTTATCGTAATCACGATACAGGCTAACTTTACTACAAGCTTTTTAATAGAAAAACTTTTCAACTTTGTTTGCCTATTTGAATTCTCGATTTCAATTAGCAACTTTATAAAGTGTTGTTGCGTTTTTAACTTTACTGACTTATTTTAACACTCAATATTTTGTAGAGAATAAAGGAAAGTCGGTAAAATTCTTCTCGACTCTTTTCATTCACGTCCTCCTCCATTGCGTCCACGATTCCTTCCTGTCCTTCGTGCTCTACGTCCTCCTCGTCCATGTTTTGGTTGACGTGCTTCTACTATCTCTTCAAATCGAGAATGGCATCTTTTGTAAACCTATAAAGATGAAATAAATATCATGGATTCTATTTGGATTTTCCTGTTTTAAAAGAGATTTGAGGGGAAATAAGTTTTTATGAGTATTTTCCAAAAGTGTACTTTGAAAAAAATTCTCTCCCATGTACCTACAAAATAATCATTTTATACTTTAACTTGACATTTTTCTGATCCAATCCCTAGTTTACAACAATGTAAATTAAAAAAAATATTTTACTTCTATAGTAAGGTTTCCATGCAGATGAGGAGGAATTGCCGGATCATCATGAATTAATTCAACAGTATCTTCCTTAATATATTTTTTAGTCATTATAATTTGTCCGGCCAATTTATTCAAAATTAGATGATCTAACATATTTTTAGATAACTCATCCAACTGGTAGAAAAATAAATAAAATGGAAGTGGCTGTTTAGTGTTTGGATCAAGCGTGTTTGCGTATATATTAAGACATTCTTGTCCGCTCCAGTTACCAAGTTCAGCTTAAATGATTAAATAATTTTATCAACATATAAAATATTAATATTGAAGCAATATACCCGGATGGACTTGGAGGCAGAACATTATAGCCACACCACCCCCCCCCTGCCCCCCCCCCCTCCCTCCGTTCTTACTTATATATTGTAACATACTTGTATAGTCCAGTAATTAATATTAGCTTAAATAATTAAAAATAACTTTTTATCAGAAATAGTGTACTTATGTATATCCCCTACTGATATGAACAGCCGACCATTTAAAGGAATTTAATCCCAAATCGAGTGAAGTTGGCTCGACCACTCTAATCCGAACAACGACCCCCGAACACTTTTTGGCTAGAACGTCGACCCCGACATTATCGACTACGACAAACTAGGTAATCTTCAACCCCAAAGGGTCAGGATCCAGCTCTATCTAAAAGTAATTAAAAGTAAAATCCGGCTATACCCGATAAGCATTCTAAAAGTATTTAACTTTATTTTGTTTATTACCCGTGAAATTTGTGTAAATTATAAGCCAAAAGTCATGCATTGTAGGATGAACTTCGATCGACGTATCAGGCAAGAATGGACAATTAATGATTATGTCATCTGTTGATTCCGCTGATTTTAAAGACATTAATTCTTTATTTGGAAACATTTGGTTAAATATTTGACGAAATTTATTTGCCTTTACTTCAAAAATATCATAATTTTCCATATAACTTCGAATCGAAACCTCCTGGCTAAATTTAAAGAGAATAAATTTGGATAAACAAGTACGCCGACTTTCAAATGGTCTTTCTAGGGTGGAAGGAATCCCTAAAGATCAGAAAGAGTTTGAAAAAGTTTAGCCACCGGGCAGGACCTGCGACCTTCTTGCAGGTATTGCTAGGCGCTTTCGCTCACCGCATATAGGAGATCTATTACTGAGCTAGCGGGGCATCGACTAATGCTTTCTCTTTTTCCTTTTTAGATCGTTTAACCCCCCCCCCTATGCGTTTAAATGCTGCTACGTGAATGAATCATCCTTACAGAACCTCCTACCCGGCCCAGCTTCCAAGAGAGGTTGCTATATCTAATAAAATAATTTTTATAAAAAATATACAATTCTCCAGTATCATTCGCTCGTTTGTCTAGTTCAACATTATAATGATTGTCACTATTATGAAATTCAACAAAATTTCTAATAAGCATTCGAACAAAAAGAAATAGATGCCAAAAATTATAAACTTTTTTTCCTATATTAATATTGTCTTTACAATTTTTGTATAATTTTTCCAATTCTTCTCTAAAATATTTAAATAAATTTTATTTAAATTTTAAAAAATAATATCGCATTCCCGGGATCCCGGAACGGGATTACGTTTCAAAATTGAACCGGGACGGGATCCCGCGGGATTAATCCAGGAATCCCGGTAATCCCGTTTACCGCGAAAGACCCTGGATTCCGGGACGGGATTCTGTAAAATCTCGTCCCGTGACGATCTCTAATTTCTACTTAATCTACTTGACAACTACTGAATCATTGGACAACGATTTAGACATAGTTCTGAGTTAACAATAATGTAGATTCAAAGTTAAAATAACAATAATTGAATTCTACCTATTCAAATGTAGCATCCTATAGTAAATTCCTTGATCATCATTATATGCAAAGTATTTCAATCGGTCAATATCATTTTTTAACTCATCAAAAGTTGTATCATCAGGCATGGGCAAAATCCCCATATTATTTAAAAATTCTGCATATTTTTCTATCGTAGCTTCTAAACGGAGTTGTGATAATTTTTGAAAAATGAAATACACGTTTTCTTGTGGCTTTTCAACTTCGGTTTCATAATTTTGCGAATGGTAGATGATAACCTTTTTTTAAATAAAGATTTTATAAAATCAAAAATTTACCAAAACTTTTAAATTTAGTTAACTAAAAAGCAGGGGTGGAGCTCGTGCCACAAAATGCCACAAACAAGACACGAGATACGAGACCTCTAAAAAACACGAGATACAAGACAAGAGATACAAGACGAGCTCCACCCCTGCTACAAAGGTTATTTATGCACTTATATGTGAAACGGTAGTGCTAGGATTTTCATATTCATTAGTAGTAAGTAGGGTTGTTCCCCGACGGGGGGGGGGGGGGGGGGGGGGGTTAGGGAGGGTGAAGGGACGGGGAAAGTTTTTTTTCATTTTTACGGGGAGGGAGGGGAAAAAAATCTTCAAAAAATCTCTCAAATTCCCCGACTTTCGTGGACCGGGTACAACCCTAGTAGTAAGTAGGTAGTCCAATTTACGAGCAAAGCTAGACCCGGGTCCCTCAACACTCGAGGCACAGTTTAAGAAAATTTTTTCGCTAAAAATATTTTAATATAAATAATTTTTAATAAAATTACCCCGTCAAGATTGTTGAAAAATTTTTCCCCAAAATCATGATTAAATCTTTCATAAATCCCCCTCAAAACATTTTCAGTTTTATTTCTGATAAAACTGGATAAATCGTTCAAATCTTTCAAATCCTCAACAGAAACTGTTTTTAAAACTCGAATCAAAACAGATAATTCTGTCAGGGAAAAATTAAAAGTGTCTACAGGTTGCTCTTCAGTATCAAACTCTTCAGGGTCGAACATCTCTTCGGGTAAAGTTTCTTCTTCTTTTGTAGGTGGAGGACTTTCATATTCCGGCATTTTACTTTTTCCTTAATTTTATTATTTTTATTTGCTCCCATTATTAAACGTTCAAGTCAAAGACAAAAAATTCGTTTCGTAGCGAAACTAATGGAAAAAAACTGGTAGTATCCGAAAGAATACAGTTAAATAATTAAATGTGCCAACCCCTATTAAACCCCTATTAATACCCCTATTAAATAAGGTTGGAGAATCCGGATATCCGTAAAAAGACAGGATATCCGAAAATTTCGGTTCGGATCCTCGAATTAGGAAAAAAGGTAAGGAAGAAATCTTGCCAATTAGTCTCCCAAAATTCTCGAAATTTTTGCCTGTGGCAATGAAAGAGAAGATATCGGAGAATTAACCTCAAAATCCCTTAATCCCACAATCCTGGCTTTTAAAAATAATTACAAGACAATCGGAAGCTAGAAATTTAGAAAAAAACTTAAAAATAAATTTTTACCTTTATCCGCCCCGTAAATATGATGAAAAAAATTAGAACAAATAAAAAAGAAAATAAATATGGAAATATTCATTTTCAATTTTTATTTAAAAAAATATTTTTTTTAATTTTATTTAATAACTAAATTATACATATTAAAAAATTAATTTAAAATAAATATATAATAAAAAATATTTAAAAATAATTAAGGAAAAGCTTAAAAAGGTTAATAAAGTGAAAAGAAAAAGGGAGAAGCTCCTAAATAAACTTCAAAGTAAAACATTGGGCGAGGGCATATATAATTTTTTACGTGAATTATGCTGGCTTTTTATTTTAATTTAAGCCGCCTTTTTTTCATCAGTCAATTAATTTTAGATAGGATGTGGGTAGACGTAATCAGGGATATTCGAAATTTCGATTTGTTTCTTTTGCACTTTCAGCCGGCAATCACGTTTGTCGGTTAAATTTTAAATAAAAATTTAAATAAAATTAATTTTAGTAAATGAAATTATTATCCCAATTTTCTTAACGTTTTATAACTAGCCTTGTTTGGAAGGAGTTTAAATAATATAATATATTACACTTTTGGCATAAATCTGATAAATTTTAGAGGCAAGGAAGTGGAAGAAAATTGGAATTTGACGGCCACATTTTGAAAAAAGAAGTGTTTTGTAAGGAGGATTTTCAAAAACTCCTTACAAGGTCTTCCATCTAACGTTTAATAACCATGTAATAATTAAAAAATAATAGAAATGATGAGAATGAAGAGGAAAGCGAAGAAGAATTAATACAAAGACCGAGAGTGCGAGTAGTTTAGTAATATTTTTAAAAAAAGGGATCCTTAGGGGTGTAAAAAAGTTCCGGTTTGCCCGGAACCAATTTGTAAACCGGAGCCGGAACCGGAACCAATTTGAGTTCCGGTTCCCGGAACCGGAACAAAAAAAGGCCGGAACTTTCCGGAACCGGAACCGGAACTTCCGGTGAAACCCTAATATTTATATTTTAGTCAAAGGTGAGGGTTAGCTGCGAGGGACTGAGCTATAGGATGTTAAGTTCAAAAGGAGGGATGTTTAATACAAGTTAAAGATATATTATATATTATTATATCCGCTGAAAAACTGATTTTCCCTGCTATCGGCAAGCTAGATTTCTAAAACTAGGACGCTCATCTGATTAACTTTTACGGTAATTAGGTTAGGTTTTTTCATTAATTTAATTAGATATTCCATATCTTAATCAATTAGGGATAGGGAGCAGTGCTGGCCGGAATAAAAATTCGAAATTTCGATTAGCTCTGATAGGCAGATGGTGGGCGAGAATTGACGTCAATAGACTTTTAATAGACTAATTCTAAGTAAATAAAACACTTAATAGACTTTATTAAACAATAAAATAATTTAATTAAAATTATATTTGTTAAAGTAATTATTGTATTAATAAAATTCATAAAGGACAGATAAATTAACTTTTGATTAATTTTTAAAAATGTTAAATTAACACTACTTTATCGTTTTCGTATAGATATAATTATTCATCTATCAAGAAATTTTTTGTCTAAATATCATCGTTTACTAGCACAATTTAAAAAATGTTAAAAAATAAATACCCAAATCTTTATCCAAAATCAAAATCTTTAAATATCAAAATTTGTTTTTGTTCAATGAATTTAAAAAAACTAAACTAAAATTTTATAAACTAATAAATAATCAAATATATAGTTGTTATTCAATCCTCGTTTCTTGTAGTTTAAAAAATAAAAGCCTGAAAACTATAAAGGACAGAAAAAGTTTGTTAACAACCAAAACAAAATATCGCGTTAAAATAAGTCAGTATTAGGTACCTTCCTTGTTATCCCAAATAATCTCGGCAACTGTGATTTTTGATCGAGATCTCGCCTTCGTCGGCTCTATTTCGTATTTGTTTTTCTGTTTTAACCGATTCTGCAGAATGCCTTTTGCGGACATGTGGATTGCGAGCTACCCATTTTTGAAGATCCCTAAGCCAGGATTTTTTAACGGCCATTGAGTAGGATTTATTCCTTTTTCCCTAATTATAGGATCCGAACCGAAAATTTCCGGATATCCAGGGTTTCTTCGGTTCCGGATAACGGAACCGTAAACTCAACTATGAGATTTAAATTTTTAATTTTACTAGCTTATTTTAGAACTCAATATTTTGTAGAAAATAAGGAAAAAATCCGAAAAAATTCTTTGCGACTCTTTTCAGTCACGTCCTCCTCCATTGTGTCCACGATTTCTTCCTGTCCTTCGTCCTCTACGTCCATGTCTTGGTTGATGTGCTTGTACTATCTCTTCAAATCGAGAATGGCATCTTTTATAAACCTATAAAGTGCCATAAACCATTAGATTTAAAAAATTAAATATTACATTTTCAGTAAGTTCTCCATGAAAATGAGGAGGAACTTGATCAGGCATTTGACCATGTTTCTGAACAGGAAGTAATTCAATAATCTCCTCATCGAGATATTGTTTGCTCAGTATAACTTGTCCAGCCAATTCATTCAAAATTAAATGATCCAACATATCTTTAGACAAATCATCCACATAATAGAAAAATGAATAAAATGGATATGTTGGCTGGTGGGTGTTTGGATCAAGCGTACTTGCAGATAAATTGTAACAATCTTGTCCAGTCCAATGAGCAATATCACCTTAAGTAATTAAACAAAACTCTTTATCAGAACAATTTAAAGTATATAGCTATTTAATCACTAAGGCTATAAAGTAGGGGACGTGTTGTCATGAATCAGCCCCAGCCCCGAATAACCAGTTGCAGTAGCTGAGGAGTTTAATTATAAACGGGATAACGATCTATTTCTACTATTTCTACCTGATATTTCTCATACTAAGGTTGTTGGATCCTTATATCCGAAAAAAGATTGGATATACGGAAATTTTTGGTTCGGATATCGGATCCGGATATCCGAAGATTTTCAGCTATCAGACAACCTTAATTTCTAATATAGATTCCATGCGTTATCTGAAGGAGAAATAACAAAAGCCCAGCAGGGCTTTACTGTTAGCTACTATTATCCTGTAAAGCATATAGCTATTAATTTCCTAAGGCTGAGCAGTAGACGTGGTGTAATGGCTAACACATCAGTCCGGTCTACTGAAGATGCTGGTTCGCTCCCAGCCGCCGAATAACCTTTTGCACTTGCTAAAGGAGAGAAATAGCTATAGCCCAGCTGCTTTACTGGTAGCACCGGATGGTTCAGCGAACGCTGAACGAATGACGATCCATCCCATAGGCCCTGGGTTAGAGAAAGGAAATTCCGCCAGAGAAGGCGATGATTAAGCTACCCCGCAGGTGAGAGAAAAAGCGGGAAGAGGGCAGATAAGAAGACTAGGGACAGTCTTCCCTGGGGATGGAGGTGTAAAGCATATAGCTATTAATTTCCTAAGGCTGAGCAGTAGGCGGCGTGGTGTAATGGCTAACACATCAGTCCGGTCTACTGAAGATGCTGGTTCGCTCCCAGCCGCCGAATAACCTTTTGCACTTGCTAAAGGAGAGAAATAGCATAGCCCAGCTGCTTTACTATCCTATTATTTTACTCAGGCAGCCATTTAAAGATTTAGATCCAATTTAAGGTTTGATATAAAAGTAAGATCCAACTTAAACAAAAATTCTATTGACCTTTTAGATTGGTGTAAATTAATGGCCAAAGATCTTCCATTGTAGGATGAACTTCGATGGACATATCAGGAGAGATTTCATTATAAATGATTATGCCATAGGTTGATTCAGCAAATTGAAGATTTAATCGTTTGTGTGGATACATTTGATTAAATATATGCTGAAATTCATTTGCCTTTATTTCAAAAATATCATAATGTTCCATATAACTTCGAATCGAAACTTCCTCGCTAAATTTTATAAAATAAATTTAAGAAGCCTCCTTATTAGAAAGGAAAGGATGGAATTTCTAAATGGAAGGAATTCCTATAAATTTTCTGAAATTTTTAGATTTTGGGCCAATTTTCTTAAATTTTTGTTTAAATTCTGAAATTTTGTTTTTAAATGAGGAAGATGAACGTTCGGCAAAGAGGGCATGCGAAGAGGGCATGCCCATGATTTAAAAAATAATTTTTAAAAAATATGTATATGTAGGTACTAGAGATTTGTTTTCTTTGCTCGTTCATCCAATTCTTCATTATAATGTTTGTTTGCATTATGAAATTGAACAAAATTTCTAATAAGCATCCGAACATAAAGAAATAGATGCCAAAAAACATAAAATTTTTTGTCTATATTAATGTTGTCTTTACAAAGTTTGAATAAATGTTCGAACATCTCGCTAAAATATTTTCAATTAATTTTATCTAAATTTTCAGAAATATTTTCAAAAAACCATTCTAAATCGAAGTGTTAGGGAAATAAAATTATGTTATTGAACTTTGGCGTTTTTTCATTCCGAGTTCCGAAATTTTTGAAGCAAGTTACCACTTAAGATTTTTCCAAAATTTTCCAAAGTTCGCAAAAAAGCGAAGAAATGGATATCGAGAGACCCAAATATGTAACTGTGATATGACTGGATATGGATATCTTGAAATTTGGTGGTATTAAGGTTAATTCGAGGAAATATCGTCAAGAGATGTTGTAAAGCATATAGCTATTAATTTCCTAAGGCTGTGCAGTAGACGGCGTGGTGTAATGGCTAACACATCAGTCCGGTCTACTGAAGATGCTGGTTCGCTCCCAGCTGCCGAATAACCTTTTGCACTAGCTAAAGGAGTGTGTATAGAGGAGATTTCGTGTATAGAGGAGATTTCGAGAGGATTTAAATTATCCTTATTTTTATTAAACAAATCGTTGTTAAATTTAGAAAGCTATGTCTAGACATTCTACAATTAGACATAACTATGTTAACGATAATTAAATAGGATTTAGGTATGTTAAAATGCAATAGACAAAAAATTATGATTTCAAAACCTATTAGTCTTCAAGTGTAGCAACCCATATTTAATTCTTTCATCATTAATTACAAATGCTTGCAAACGGTTATCTTGTTTCAGCTCATCAAAGCTTGTATTCTCAGGCAATGGCATAATTCCCCAATTATATAAAAATTCCGCAAATTCTTCTACCGTCGTTTCTAAACGGAGTTTCGATAATTTTTTAAAAATGAATTTTTCGTTTCTTCGTGACATTTCAATGTCTGTTTCATAGTTATTCGAATGGTAGTCGATAATCTTTAAAAAATAAATTTAAAACCGAACTTTAGATATCACTGCCAAGCAATACCCCCTGTTTAAGATACCTAAATTCTATATATTATTTTTCAGTCCCAAGTATAGAAAGCATATAGCTATTAATTTCCTAAGTCTGTGCAGTAGGCGGCGTGGTGTAATTGATGAAAAATCAGTCCGGTTTACTGAAGTGCTGGTTCGCTACCAGCCGCCGATTAACCTTTTGCACTAGCTGAAGGAGAGAAATAGCTATAGCCCAGATGCTTTACTATATATGTATAGTGAGTTATGATAAATAGAAACAATTTCCTCAGAAAGATATTTATAGTGATATACCGGATTTCCTCAGATAGGCTGCCTCTCTATTAGTACTGCCCTCTAGAGCAGGATTGAAAAATAACAATTCAATAAATTTACCTCATTAAGATTTTTAAAAAATTTTCCCCCAAAATCGGTATTAAATCTTCCAAAAATCCCATCCAAAACATTTTCAGTTTTAATTTTCATAAAACTAGACAAATCGTTCAAATCTTTCAGATCTACCATAGAAACAGTTTTTAAAATTCGAATCAAAACGGATAGTTCTGTCAGAGTAAAATCAGAATTTTCTTCAGGTGAAGATTCTTCTTCAGGATAAAACTCTTCAGGGTTGAACATCTCTTCGGGACTGGAAACCTCTTTAGGAGGATTATCATATCCGGGCATTTTACCTTTTCCTTAATTTTAATATTTTTATTTCTCTAAATTTATTTAATAATTTTTATTTCATTAATCATGAAGAATTGTGTTGGGAAAATTCCTCGATCCAGGCCCCTTCTCTCTTAAATCCGCTAACCCATCTTATTAGATGCCGATGTCCATGTCATATTTTTTGCTAATTAAGTGACACAGTGATACCTTACTAATGATGATAAACCGCTAGTCATGAATATATAAAGGTTTAAAATTTAAAAAATAAATTTTTACCTTTATCAGCCCCGTAAATATGATGATGAAACGAACAAATAAAAAGGAAAATAAATATAGAAATATTCATTTTCAATTTTTATTTAAAAAATATTTTTAAATTTTTTATTTTTTTTATGTTTTATTTATAAAACTAAATTATATTAAAAATTAATTTAAAATAAAAATTTAAGAAAAAATAATTAAGAAAAAAAATATTTAAAAATAATTAAGGAAAAGCTAAAAATAAAAGGTAAATAAAGAGAAAGAAAAAAGGGAGGAGCTCTTAAATTTCTAAATAAAACATTGGGCGAGGGCATATGATAATTTTTCACGTGAATTATGCTGGCTTTTTTATTTTAATTTAAGCCGCCTTTCCTTTTCATGTCACTCTATTAAGGATAGGGAGAGGGTAGATGGACGGGATCAGGGATATTCGAAATTTCGATTTGTCTCTTTCATCCGGTAATCATGTTTACCGCTTCTTTATCTAGAATCGGAACGAAATTTCGATTAGCTCTGATAGGGAGACGGTGGTGGGCGAGAATTGGCGTCTATAGAGTTGTAATCGACTAATTCTAAATAAATAAAACATTTAATAGACTTTTATTAAAAGATAAAATAAAATAATTTACTTTTAATTATAGTTGCAAAGGCAATTATCGTATATTCTCGAATAATTACCCTGGGTAATTTCTGCCTCAATATTTTCTATATTTTCTATATTTTAGCATCTATAGCAATATTCATTAATGGCAAACTCGAGCCAAAATTAGCCGTTTATATCATAAATTTTAAAACCCGAAAACTTTTTTTGATACTATTTGCATTGTAGCCCCCCTCCCCCAACTTAGATGCTCAAATAATTACCCCCTCTTGAATAATTAATCTCTAGGGCGTTTGGGCACCTGTTTTCTGGCACCACAGTTGCCAAAAGCATCAAAGCTACCCGAAGGCACAGTATCCTTTTAAAGGCTGTGTTTGGGGCCGAAGTCCTCCAAACGCCCCGCGACAACGCATCACAGTTGCCAAAAGCACCACAGCTACCCAAAGGCACAATATCCTTCTGAACGGTGCCTTCGAAAATAGGGTCGGAGGCCTCAAAAATGCAACACATTTCATGTAACCCGCCAAGCAAAAAACTATTCTAGCGCTTTTAAAGCCTAGGGCTTCCACGCGCGTCCCTGGCTACTCACCCTCTAGCTGGTTTTTATTTTAAAAGATTTTTAATTTTTTTGAATTTTTTGCTTTATTTATTTTAAATATTTAAAAATTCAATTTTTAATTTTTTTTAATAAATGAAAGTGTGTTAATTATTGCTTCATATTTGCTTAATGTTTTATTGATGGGGAGGAGTTTATAAAAATAGGATACCTAGGTATCTATCGTGCCCTTTTTTCAAGTAACTCTGATAGATTTTTAGAGGCAGCAAAAAATTTAAAAATATAAAATCAAAGGAAAATTAGGGATGGCATTTGACATTCATATTGAGAAAAAAAAATTTTGGCTCAAAATTTGGCCCAAAATTTTGGCTCAGCAGTGTGTACCTCTCTCATTTTGGCTCAGCGTTTTCGGGGTCGGGTTGCTACTTTAATTTAAACAGGTGTTTTGACTGTATGCTAATTAATAGGAGTTTGAAAAAATATTCCAACTTATATCAAATAAATATATTTAACATAATTAAATAAATAGGCATCTTTTTACCATAGACTAAGCTCGACGAGATCTTTCGAATGAGCCATTATTTGCATATTCTAATTTTTCACCCCAAAACCGAGCTTATTCCTCCCTATGGTTTTTCAATTTTTCGGGACCTTTAACTCAGTCCACAATAATTTCCTAAAGTACCGAGTGATACCGTTCGACTCAGCTCGTCGAGACGAATCGAATTACATGTCACGTCCCAAACTTTTACCACCGGTGCACTACATTATATCCATATAATTAAATAAATATAGGCATCCTTTCTACTATAATCTCAATATAAAAAATAAATCTTTGATAAAAATTTTCTTCTCATCCATCTGATTTTTTTCTAATTTCGCTAGTTTGGCCCCAAAAGGAAATTACTTAAATTGGGGGATAAATAAAAGAATATAAATTTCTTCTCTAAATTTACTTTTACGCCATCCTGGCATTTTCTTGTTGTTTTTAAAAAGAGTTGAAAAAAAAAGAAAATTCCCGTGAGAATTAAAAAAAGAGAATTTGGGTAAAAGGTTTATTTTTTCTAATAGCAAAAATAGTTAAAACAATTCAATTACAAAATATATTAAATTACACTTTTACTGCTTTTACTAATTTAAAAAATGCTAGTAAAAAAAAAACAAATAAATAAATTTTTTGGAAATTTTATTTTTTCTAAAATTATCCTCTTGTTTTTATTTTTTATTTTATTTTAATAAAAATTTAAAAAAAATTATTTTTTAAATATTAAGAATTAATTTAATATCTAATTTTTAATTTTAACTGTACCAGACAAGCTTATCAGACAGACGGATATGGATACAGATAAGTTCCAAATGCCTGGGGATATCCGTCTGTATCCGCCGTAAATATCCAGATACGTATACCAAAATCCATGTCCATTACCAAGTCTGGTATCAGACCTCAGTATGAAATACCCTCTAAAGGCTGAATTTTATCTTAAAAATAGAAAATTAAATTCCCTCCACCTAGTCCATAGATATCACGGGATGAGAAAACAAAGTCGGGTCGGGATTCGGGTCGGAAATGATCAGTGTTATCGTGTTTCGAGTAGCCCGTGATATCCCTGAGTGGGCAACCTAGTGTCCAACCAAATTTTTAAAAAATTATATCGTAAATAAAGGTGTATCTATTATTGTGTGTATCTTATAGCGAGGTCTTTTTCGTTTAAATAAATTTTCATCAAAATTAATTTTAAAAATAAAAATGATTTACGAAAAACCACAAAGGAAAATTAATTCCGATGAGTATAGCAGTATTAGCAGTAATGAAATTTTACAAGAAAATGAAGAATTGCTTAATCCGTGGGCTTTAATTGGGCGAGAAAATGATGAAAAAGAGGAGGTTTGAATAAATAAAATAAAAGTGAGCAAATCTGAGAAGCTTTTTCTAAGGAAGCTGAGAAGCTTTCCCCTCCCCAAAAACCCCTCCTAAATTCAAAAAAGACCACCTTGCTGTAACACATTTATTTTTTATATTTTGTTAAAATAAAAATATTAATCCCATGGGGTAATAAAAATAGGAAAAAAAATTTTTTTAAGAAAAGAGGCGTCAAATAGCTTAAGAACTTGGCCAAAAAAGTCAAAAACTTTTTCTTTAAAAAATAAAAAAAAAATTGTTAAAAATAAAAAAATGTTTTTACAACGTCCCGAATTTGTCCAAAATTTGCCTTTTATTCCGAGAGATGTTATTTCAAAAAATGTAGTAGATTTAAAAATAGATTTGCCGGTTTGTTTTTAGTAATATTAATGGGGTTGTCGGTTGGAACCGGACAGAAGAACAGAGCACAGAATTTTCCTGTTAGGTTCTTCGATTCGATCTGTTCGATACCGGATGCCCAAAGATTCTCGTATAACCGACACCCTGAATATTAAAAGTTTTATGAAGGGGCTTTTATTTTTTATTAGAGACCAAGCCTCCATTAGAGACCGAGCTAAGCCCCAAGATCGAACGGAGCAATCCTCAAAAATTTTTTCAGGAGGTTCTACATAATAAAGGTGTGACAGCAAGCTTAGGAGCGCTGTCTAGAAAATATAAAAAAAATTTTTCTTTAATTAAAATTTTTATTTTAGCACATGCCTGTGTGGAGGAAATATGCGCGGATGTATGTAATTTTAAATTTAATTTATTATTGGCCCTACCAGAAAAAAATAAATTTTAATAATTTTTAAAGCGTTCTCCCACACATTGGACTTATATTGCTATCATTATTTTATGTGGTTGGAGGGGCTTTTATTTTTTATCATTTGGAGAGTCCAAACGAGATGGATATTAGGCGAGATGTAAATTTTAATTTTTTCTCGAAAAAATTTTTTTCAAATAAATTAGACAATGGAATTAATAGAAAAAGAAAGGAACGATATGTTGGAATATCTCTGGATAAAAATAAATGATGAAAATTATTCTGAGGAAGAGTTGGAACAAATTGCCTTGGAAAGGGTAGATAACATTAGTCGTATTCTGTTTGAAGCATTTGATACACACTATGTTGGTCTATCGTTGTTACAAAGTGAAAATGTCAATGTAACACAGGGGACGTGGAGCATGACAACTGTAAGAATGATTCACCTAGAGCATTTAAAAAGTTAAACGATCTAAAGGATAAAGAGAAAGCATTAGTCGATGCCCGGGTAGCTCAGTTGTAGAGCTCCTGTATGTGGTGAGCGAAAGCGCTTAGCAATAACTGTCAAAGGTAGCAGGTCCGAATCCTGCCCGGTGGCTAAACTTTTGCTAAACTCTTTCTCAACGATATTAAGATTTGTCGAAAATCAGATTTTTTCGGAATCTGAATTTTTTGTATTTTCCGGCAATTAAGAATATTAAAATTAAAATCTGTATTTTTCTGGAACTATTCCGAAATTCTTAGGCAATTTTCTTCACATCAACCCTTCTAACAACTATCGGTTATGGTAATCTAGTGCCTGTAACCAGCCTTGGTCGGATGTTCTGTATATTTTATGCACTCTTTGGTGTTCCATTAATTTTAATTACAGTTACTGACATTGGAAAAGTCTGTCTATTAACGTAATTTTCCAAAAAAAAATTTTTTCAAGTTCCTATCCGAACAAATTGTTTGGCTATATACTCGTTATGCGCGGGCTAAACATCGGTTTAGAGACCGTTTATTACAACAGCAACAACAACCTTTATCTTCTGGGGCAGCAGAACTTGCCTCCGCTTCATCTCCGCAGAGAAGTATGCTGCGAGCACAACTACACGAACTTGGATTAGATAATGTCCATATTCCGATAACCTTAATTGCTGCAATTCTGATTGGTTATATGAGTATAGGGTAAATATTCTGATTTTGTGTTTTCCGGAAAGTTTCAGAAAAATCCGGATTCTGTATCTCTCTGAATTCTTAAAATTTCTGATTTATTATTTCAATCACTTAATTTTAGAGCCCTTCTCTTGGCAAGCTGGGAAAACTGGGCATTATTTGATGGTTTTTATTACTCTTTTATAACAATGACAACAGTTGGATTTGGCGATTTGGTTCCAACAAAGCGAGAATTTTATATTATTGACCTTTTCTACATTGTGGTTAGGATAAAAAATGATTTTAAAACAAGAGACCAGGATTAGGAGGTCGCACGAGATCGAGATCGTGGCTCGAACAGACTCGATTCTCTATAACCGAGATTTTTGTTCGAGAGCTACATACCGTATTTACTCGATTAATTCCCCACCCTCGAATAATTCCCCACCCTCTATTAATTCCCCATGCCAGGGATGAGTTGAAAAAATAATTCCTCGGGGGAATTAATTGAGTAAATACGGTATTCTTGGTCCGATCTCTATTGTATACCACAATTATTTCCTCCCTAAAATTTTTTTTATAAAATTTCTTAAGGTTGGACTTGCTATAACTACAATGTGCATAGACCTAGTTGGCATTGAATACATCGAAAAGGTTAGCCAGAAGAATTTCAAATTTTAACTTTTCCCTATCCCTATTATTGTCTGGGGGCATACAAATAGAAACAGACAAATTCTTCCCTACTCTGCTTTTTTTAAAAATATTTATCAAATTCCCCCTCACAGATTCACTACTTTGGCCGAGCAATTTCCGGCGCTCGCTTTGCTTTAGTCAACGTTGGAGGAAAAATGGTTAGGGTGCCAGACTTGATGAGATGTGCCCATGTATTACAACAAAAATATGGGCAAAGAAAGACCTCTGGAAAAAATAAAAATGATTCGACAACAACTGCATTACTCCACCAATTTATTGTCTGGCGGGGAGCGTAAGAAATTAATTAAAAATAATAAATGGGGCCTACAAAATTCCAAAAAAATTTTTTAGCTATGCACCAAGAGATCTAGGCTATATTCGATTTATTGACATAGGCTCACTTGCCAGCTTCGAATCCTTGTCAAGTTTAATCTCAAGTATTTTTACCGGCAAAAAATCAAGAGAACCGAGTGTTGTTGTACCAACATATGTTTAAAAAAAATTTTGTTTATGCTCACGCATTTAAAATATTAATAAAAATTTTATTGAGAGAAATTTTTTTAAAAAATTGTAAAAATTAAGCAGTTTAATAATAATGTCTCTTTTTTGCCTTTTAGCAAGTACAGCCATTTGAATGGAATTTCTCGCAACATTTCATTCGGTTTCTGCAATCGTCATACCTGTTTTTTGGTTAAATAATTATTAAATTTTAATAACTTTGTAATTATTCTTGGTCATTGGCTAGTGAAAGCTTTCAAGATCGAACTGAAATTCTTGCACGATTACTAAAATCCGGTCTCTAGTGTTAACGTTTAGATAAATGTTCAGACTACTAGTGATGGTCGGGATTCCCGGTCTCGGTTCCCGAGTCGGGAAATTTCCCGGGTTTTTTGAGCTCTCGGTCTCGGTGTTTTAGTCTCGGAAAACGAGACTAAATTTACACCCCTAATGACGGAAATTTTTTGAAGTTTTTGAAAGAAAGGGGAAAGGAATATATTTATAATTTCTCCCATTTGCTTTTGATGGTTGATGGTTGAGTGGTTAAGTTGACTGACTTCACTCACTTAAATATTTTGTAAGTGCTGGGTGCGAATCCTAAGGTGGAAATGAGGTTGTGAAAATTTTTCTTTTCGGAAATAAACGTTTTTAAACTTAGATTTTGATATTAAAATTTTTAATTTATTTTTTCTTAATTTTTTAAACTTGAAAAAAACATTAAAAATTTTAATTTAATCATGAATTTTTCAAAATTTCCTCCTGCGGCGCAGCGTTTTCGCATCCGGCGGTAAAAAAGAAAGAAATCTGGCTATTGGCCTCCCAAATTTTTCAAAATTTTCGCCTGCGGCACAAAAAATGGAAGAAATCAGACTTAAGGACTCCAAAATTCTCAAAATTTTCGCCTGCGGCGCAGGAAATGGATGAAATAGGAGGATTTATGGCTTCAAAGCCTTGCAACGTTTGTTGTGTGGTTTGTTGTGTCACATGTCCCGTGGGACATGTGAGACTGAGAGAGGGTATCCCTCCTAATCTCTTGGTCTCGACTCTCGGTCTCGACTCTCGGTCTCGACCCGGGACTCGGTCTCGGGGACGATTCCCGGTCTCGGTCTCAGGCGCAATTCCCGGTCCCGGTCTCAGGCGCAAGAGTTTCAATAAAGTTTAGTTTCAATAAAAGAAAACGCAACTGATGGCAATGATCATGAATATGGTTGTCTTTTTTCGGGCCTGTTTCTATCGAGTCGGGCCAGAGGAGTCTTTTCGGGCCAAATATCTTAGCCCGCTTCGATCTTTTGGTCCGAGTCGGTCCATTTTGGCAACCCTAATCATGGGCGTTGTTATTAACAAAAATATCTGAGTTGAGAAATTCATTGGATTTGGCGGGAGCAATGGTGGTATAGGAAATTGAGAGAGAGTAAACGAGGTATCAGTGGATTTGGAGGGTTTAAAAAATTTTAAAAAATGTCGGAAATCAGGAACGGGTTTAGGGGACAGTAATTTCCGACAAAATTAATTCCCGATTTTAGGGAATCAGGAAACGGGTCGGAGGTCCCTGATATACACATATTCTCAACACATAATTCGATTAAAGTCGATTTGGTGGAATTAAGGCTGATATAGTGAATTATGAGTAGCCTGGGACCAAAATTTAAGGTCCCACTAAGCTATTAGATCAATTATAGGCCATAACTGGCCTATTAACGTGTCTAAAATCGAATAATTAAGAAAATAAAACCGTTTTTATTAGATTTTTTTAAAATTAAAATGTGTCGTTTTGTTTCGTTTCGTTTCGCTAAATTTATACTGTTTCGTCTCGTTTCGTTAACGAAACGATTTTTAAAAAATTTTGTTTCGTTTCGTTTCGTCTGAAAAAATTTTGGAGTTTCGTGCATGTCTGCTCCCGACCATCACTACAGACTACGACCCCGACATTGTAAAGCATATAGCTATTAATTTCCTAAGGCTGTGCAGTAGGCGGCGTGGTGTAATGGCTAACACATCAGTCCGTTCTACTGAAGATGCTGGTTCGCTCCCAGCCGCCGAATAACCTTTTGCACTAGCTAAAGGAGAGAAATAGCTATAGCCCAGCTGCTTTACTTCATTTAGTACTCTCCAATATCCCCAGAAATTCAAAAATTTGTGGAATTAGTGTGGAGAGAAATTTAATCAAAAATAAATTTGTATCCTAAATCAAAAATACTTATAATCTCCCTATAATTTAAACATTAAAAAATAAATAGATTTTAAAATTTTACCAATTTTAACTTACTTAAATTTTGCTAAACAATTTGAAAGTCCAGAGCGTTTAGCACGTATTAAAGTAGAAAAATTATCTTTTAAACGTTTTTAAATTTTTATTTATATTTTAAATTTTAGACTAACCAACAGCTACAGATTTTCCATTTTCTATTGTCGAATTTATTTTATCAACGCAAAAAACAAATGTTAAGATAAAAGCGATTTTGATTATAAATAATAACTTCATTTCAAAAAATTTTTTACTTTAAAAGGTTTTTTTGGGAATTTTTAAATTTTGGGGTCGAAATGTCAACTATTTATATTTACTTTAATTTGGGGGCGTTAAATGATATTTAAGGTTATTGGTCTCTTAAATGAAAAATGTAACAAATAGGCATCGCCTCAGGCACTGATAACTTAAATTATTAAAATTGATAGGTTTAAATTTAAAATACGGAAACACAATTTTTAAAACTTGTTTTGAAGCGAAAAACTTTTTAATTTTAGAGTAATGCAAAAAATAAATTTTAAAATCAAATTACTTTGGAAACTAAATTTAAAATAAAATAGTAGTAACAATTGGTTATTGAAGCTTTATTTTTTAATTAGATTTTTTTAATTAATTAAAATATTCGTGTTGTCTTAAAAATATATATTAATTTAAAATAACTCAGCAAAATTTTATAAAAATTATTTTTTTTATAAAATTTGAAAAAATAAAGAATTTATAATGTATTCATTTCCATGCTGTTTATTTAAATTAAAATTATTTTTTGTCTTTTAACATGTACAGCTTGTTGAATGGTGTTCCTCGCAACATTTCATTCGATTTTTACAATCGTCATACCTGAGTTTTTTAGTTTAATAATAATTATTTATTTACATATTTATTTTATTTAATAAAAAACTGATCATAATTATTTTGTAACTTACGCATATTTTCCAAAACAATCCTCTAGTCCAGGCACATCAGAAGGCCATGAACGCTTAGCACGTATTAAAGTAGAAAAATCGTCTTGAAAAATTATTTGTATTTACTTTAAATTTTTAGACAAACCAACAGCTACAGATTTCCCATTTTCTGATGCCGAATTTATTTTAATAATGCAAAAGATAAAGGTTAAGAAAACAGCGATTTTGATCATTAAGAATAATTTAATTTTTTAGATTTTTTTAATACTGAAATTTTTTTAAAAAATCAGAAAGAGTATTTTCTTAAAAATGAGATGTGCCTTAAATAGAGGGTATTTTATGAGATATGTTAACCCAGAGGGTATCGCTAAGACCTATACTAAAATAGCAAGTGTTAAAAGCATTTTAAATAGTGGCGCAAGGTTATATCGCGTTATTACGTCTTTTCAATCATCGTACTCATTCTTACGTCGCTCAATTCGCTCTCGAGGGCGAGATAAGTAGAGACGGAACCGTAACTAGATCTCAATCGAAAATCTCGGTTATGGAGCGAGATTTCTTCGAAACTTCAATTCTCTTACGACACTCCCAGTTTCTTTAAACATAAGTATTTAGAGGGATTCGACTGTATAAAAATTTTTTTGAATTTGAAAAATTAAAAAAATTATTATTTTATAGAGGTTCTACTGAATTTCTATATATGCTTTTATATTTATTTATTCATTAAATATAAATAAAAGTAATTAATTAAATTAGGGCGTTAAATAAATAGAAAATTAATTAATATTTTGTTTTTTCTTATAGTATTTTAAAAAATAATTTTATTTAGTAATTATTAAATTTAATATAGAAAAAGGAAATATTTTTAAAACTTGTTTTTAAAAGAAAATTAATATTTAATGTTGAGTCATTTAAAATAATGAAAAGAAATAAATTTTAAAATAGACTTTCTTTGGAAATTTTCAATTTAAAATAAAATATAACAATTGTCAAGATTTTTATTGGATTTTAATCTTGTTGATATGAAGTTTTTTAATGGATAAATAATTTAAAAATAAATTAATTTTTGGGTTAAACCATCGATTTTTGAAGTTGTTAATGATGGTTTTAATTTAATCTTTATTTTTTCTTTTTACTAGATATTAGGGTTAGCGAATCTAGAAAGCCCATGATATCCGAAGCGAAATTTTCAGATATCCTGACATTTTTCGGACTCTGATTTAAATTTTTAAATGTTATCTATTATAGGGTTGGGGCCCAGTCCGGTCCGAAAGATCGAGTTGGGCATCGAATTTTGTCTCGAAAAGGACTCGGTCGGGCCGGCACGATAAAATGACTTGAACGTCGGTCTGACCCGAAAACCCAAATTCTAGTCATCTACTAAAAATGCAAGAAAATTCTTTAACAAATATGTAATTCTGTAATTAAATTATACTCTTAATGAGAACCATTAAAATACCTCACACGAAAAGTTTTAAATCAAGACTCGATACCAAGTAAAGGCTCGATCACTCCCAAATTTAATGTATTAAAAAGTTAGATTAAAATAAATTATAAAAAAATCTTTTTATAAAAAATAAAAATATTATTAAAGATTTTTTATTATGATAAAATATAATTTTTTATAAATTATTAGATAGCCTTGAAAACAATAAACAAATAATATTATTAATTATTCGTCTCCAAATAAACAAATAAATAGTAAAAATAAATAAATAATTTTTTAAACATACTTGCAGTTTTTTACACAAGTTCTTAATTTTAATATCAACTTTTTTTAAATTTAAAACCCGTTTGTCTGTTGATAAAAAAATTTTTTAACATATCATTTGAAAAAATAAAAAAGTTTCTTAATTTATAGACATTCCCCAAAATTCCCCTAAATATGAAAATAATTTGTACAAAAATATCTAAAAATATATTCTATAATATTGTTGTTTTATTGTTATTTCAGACAAATTATGTTATTTATGCCATTCTATTTGGGCAGGTAGATTAATTATTTAGTCTACATATCGTTTAAAATGGCACTCAGATCGGGTGTTTATGTGGAGAGTTTATTGTTCCCAGTAGAGCCCGACTCGGTACGATTTTATCGATATTCGGTTTCGATATCCATCGAAATAATACCTACCGACCCCCCGTCCGGGCTCTAGTTCCCAGCCCCAATTGTTAATGAACAGGGGAGGACCTGAAACCGGGAAAATTGCCTATTTATTCCGGCATCCTTAAAAACGTGAAAAAAGGGTTCGACGCGCCCAACACCTGTCATGGATCCAGTGTATTGTTGGGCTTATATTATTCGTTTTTCCAATCTTTTTCTCAAAAAAAATTTTTATTTAAAAATCAGCAAAATGAAATTCGTTTGTTAGAATCTCTAGATGGTTTGTGGACATTTGTTCGAGAACCGTCAAATAGTGAAGGAATTGGTATTATTAATAATTGGGCAGAAATGGATTTGAGCTTTGAATTTGAGGTGAAATTTATATGTAAAAATTAGTGATTAGTAATATTAATAATTAGTAATATTAATAAAAATTAGTAATATTAATGTTGCTCATTGTGAGTTAACCATCCCAAAAATGGTGTTTATATTCTAAATTGTTTAAATTTTTGAATACACCTTTCTCTCCAAGCTTTCTAATTATGGTTGGTCCCTCTTAGGTTTTCTTCCTCTTAGGTTTCGTCTCCCCGTCTTAGGGAACGGTATGTTGGTGAATCCGTGTTGTAGACCAGCCTTTGCTAATTTATTTATATCTGAATTAACCTACATAATAAATTTAAAAATTAAAAATTTTTTCACTAAAAATCAGAATGCTACTAAAATACCCGTTCCTGCAGCTTACAACGATTTATCATTCGAAAGGGATCTACAAAATCATGTTGGGTGGGTTTGGTACCAACGCCATTATTGGCTACCTAGTACCTTAATTAATAATCAAAATAATCGTCCTCGATCATTTTTACATTTTGGAAGTGTTCAGTATTTTGCTATAGTGGTAAAATTAAAAAAATTTTTGGAAAAAATAAAAATTTTCCCAAGTATTTAAATGGTAAAGAAATTGGAAGGCATGTAGGCGGACATTTACCTTTCCAATTTGAACTGGAATTAATACAAAATTTTCCAAATTTAATTACAGTTGCTGTAAACAATACGCTTTCGAGTTATACTATTCCACCTGGCGAATTTAATATTATAAATTTGTGAGGAATTTTTAAAAAATATTTTGAAAGTTTACTACTCGACCATAGCTAGCACACGACCACAGTCATTTGAAAAATCATAACTAAGTTTAGAAAAGTCATCGAAGGAAGATTTTGATACCATTCGATGCAGCTCGAAAAAGTGCATCGAATGATGTCAAAATTGTCATGATTAGATATATCTGCTATGAGTTAAGGGCCCTCAAGTAGAGTAACCACAATAGACCGGGGGTTCTGCTTGAAATATTTCCTTAAAATTAAATGGCCATTAAAAAAAGTTTTTCAAGATCATCTGGTAATAAAATAATCCAGCAGACTCCAAACTTTGATTTTTTCAATTATGCGGGTATTTTGAGACCTGTTCAAATTTGGCATTTGCCTCAAATATTTATTAATGATATTAAATTAATTGCTGATTGTTATGGTTTATTTAGAGAGATTTTTGAAAAAAAATTTAAATAAAGGAAATTTATCCTATTCAATTGAAATTAATGAAAAATTACAAATTTTACCAAAAATAATTGTTACAATTTCTTATGGGAATAAAATTGTTGCTTTAATGGAAGGGCTAAACAATGAAACTAAATTAGAGAAAGCTAATTTATGGTGGCCTAGAGGAATGGGAAAACCTAATCTTTATATAGCTGAGGTATCTAAATTTATATAATGCTTGTAGGCTAAGTATCCTCACAGCCTAACAAATAAAGCATAAATGAATACCATCGATCAGTGGTTATAAAAAATCATTGGTTAAATAAACGTTTGCTGTATAAAGTTGGAATGTAGGTACATTCGATTGGCTGGACCTTGGATCTTAGATGAACCTTAGATTGAGTTTATATAGAGTGATGAGAAATATGAGAAATCCTTATCGATGGTGTTCACTACAAGAGTTTAACTTTGCGAGAGTTGCACGCTTCCAATGCGTTCTTGTTTTAATCATAATAATGCCAAGAACTTCACTGAATTATTTAAAAAGAACTTAATAATAATCTTTAAACAAAAATATTTTCAGGTTAAATTATTCTCAGAAAATAATGGAATTTTGTTAGACGTTTATAGAGGTCTGAATAAAAATTTTAACTTAAAAAATGTTTTTAGAAACCTTTGGATTTCGTTCTGTATCCATAGAAGATGGTCTAATTTTAATTAATAATAAACATTTTTATTGTTTTGGGTTTGGAATGCATGAAGATTTTGAAGTTTTTTTTTCAAAATATTTTTTAATCTTCAACATAAAAGGTTCATGGAAGAGGCTTTGACCGTTCTGTAATGATTAAAGATTTAAATATTTTTGAATGGCTTAATGCTAATTGTTATAGAACATCACATTACCCTTATAGTGAAGAAAGAGCCTATGAAGCTGATAGAAGGGGAATTGTTGTTATTACTGAAGTGTCTGCCGTGGGATTAAGGTAGGAATATAGCCCATGACCAAATGTGTTGAAGAATTTGGAGTCAGATATTGTTTGAGTTTTTTTCCGGGGTTAAGTCTTTTGGGGTCGGATCGGGTTAAACAAAGATGATGTCAAACACTAGGATAGAGTTTTTATGTCACTCGAGAAACTTTAAGAGTAAAGCGAGAGCTGAACTGTTAGAGTGAAGCAATAGCTGAGAAGTGTCACTACTACATAATGTCGAAAACTAATTCTAGGAAGATCTAGAAAGTGAACAATCTATGGATTGAGTGATTTGCTGTCAAAAAGTGATAGCTAAACCTCAGGATTACGTAATGGACCGGTCCTGGCTCACTTACAAGACAAGCGGATTAGAATTGAAATAATCACTTTTTTCCTCAATATTCCTTGTTTAGTGATTATACGTGATAATTTATCATTTAAATCTAGACAATTCAAAATAATTAAATTATTCCCCAGAAATTTTGACAAAACATTGGCAAAATTACACGCAAGAATGATTACCGAGATGATCAATCGAGATAAAAACCATCCTTCAGTAATTGCTTGGTCTTTAGCTAACGAGCCTTTAATTAAAGGAGACGCTTCTTTTGAATATTTTAGGTAACTTTAATTAAATTTTCCTAAAATTTTTAGTGATTTAACTATTTTAACTCGCCATTTGGACCCTACTAGACCAATTACTGCTGTATTTGGGTATTTGTCTTATAGAAAAATTGTAAATAAAATGATAATATAATAATTTTTTGAATTTTTTTAGTTTAATTTATTCGATATTATTTGTCTTAATCGTTATTATGGTGAGAAATTTAAAAGAGATTTTCTTTAAATTAATTAAATTATTAAGGTTGGTATCATGGATTAGGGCTTATTGACGCTATCAAGGATTCTTTGGTTAGCCTTAGAGTTGGGCGGGATCGGGATCCCGACGTAAAATCGGGATCGGGATTTTGGAATGATGATCCCGATCCCGGTCCCGATCCCGACTACGGGATCGGGATTGGACGAAATCGGGATCGGGATTCGGAATAATGATCCCGGTCCCGATCCCGACTCGGGATCGGGATTGAAAAATCGGGATCGGGATTTAGTTTAAAAAAATTTTCAAAATTTAAATTTTTATTTACATTGCATATACCTCAATATAATTCCATAATTTTCATCTGCTGTGCTGAAATATTCATTTTAAGTCCCAGCGCGCATTTGTTCTTGGCGTATCAGGGATTAAGAAGGAGGGATAAAGTATTAACGATAAGGTGATTCTGATGGATTAAGAGGGATATCGTTGATTAATGAGATATTGGGATTAGATGGACATCTAGGATATCCATTATATCTGTTCAAATCCATTCCGTCGATAGTTTATAAATGAGTCTCTTCTTATTCACCGCCGGAGGCAAAAATTTTGAAAAATTTCGAAGATTCTCAAGCCAAAATCTTCATTTTTAGCGCCGCAGGCGAAAATTTTGAAAATTTTGGATGGCGTAGAAGCCAAATTGCTTTCTTTTCAGCTCATTAATTTATATTTTCATTAATTTATAAAATCCCGATTTCATCGGGATCCGATTGCTAATCCCGATCCCGGTCCCGATCCCGGCTCGGGATCGGGATCGGCCAAAACCGGGATCGGGATTTGTCTTTCGGGTTCGGGATCAGAAAAATCGGGATCGGGATTCAAAAAAAACGGGATAATCCCGCCCGATCCCGACCGGGATCCCGATCCCGCCCAACTCTAGTTAGCCTATCTTCTTAAATATATTTAGTATTCAATGCAGGACCTCATTATAAGATAAACCCTTGGACTTCGAATTTTTCTATCTTTAATGAGGTGTATTATAAATAGAGTGTATCTTAAATAGAGTGACAAGAGTTCATCCTTCATGTCACTCATTCAAGTGCCAATATCGAGTTGGAAACCATGTCCAAAAATACGGGGGAATATTGGGATTTCTCAGCCAAGTGCCAATGTCTTGCTAGAACCATGCCCAAAATATATATGAATATTGGGAAAAAGTGTGAGCGAGGAGGACCCGAAGGACTGGTAAGAGCTTCATGAGATAGGCACAGCCCAGGGCCAACCAGAATTTAAAATCTTTATTAGGTATATTGAGTTTTTCATTATGGTATAACTTATCCTAGTGAGGATCGTCCGTTTATATTCAATAAATAAAAATTTAAAAAGTCCATTCATAAAATTTAAACATAAAAATTTTTTAGTTAAAAGAATTAAACGATTTTCGATCACAATTTCCTTCCAAGCCCATTTATATGACCGAATACGGTGCTGAGGCAATTCCTGGACTTCATGAGATGCCTAGTGCCCCTTTTACTGAACAATACCAAGTAGAAATAATTCAAAAAACGACTCAAGTTTTTGAAGAGTTGAGACTTGCTGGGCACCTTTCGGGGGAAATGTTGTGGAATTTTGCTGATTTTATGACTGCCCCAAGTTTTTTTTCATTCAAAAATATTTTTAAAAAAATATTTGAAGGCACTTCCAGAGTTGTTGGCAATCATAAAGGCATTTTGACGAGGGATCGGAAACCAAAAATGGCAGCCCATTTTATAAAAAGAAGATATGGGTATTTGCTTAATGAACAAAAAAGATTGTTTTATAAGAATGAGCTTTAAATAAATAATTATTTTTTTTATATAAATAAATTTAAAAAAATTTAAAAATCTTTTTAACACGTATTGAACTTCCCCTACCTTGTCTCAAATAATTACCAACCCCAGCAAGAGAATGAAACAAATATTTAGGATAATTATTTGAGCATATCTGATAGTGAACTCTTTTGAAGGTTCAAGCCAATTATTCAACCAACGAAAATATTTTCATAGTCAACAATTTAATTTGTCCAAATCAGACCGGCGAACCTCGAATTTCCCACGTTTGATCCAAATTTAATTTTTCTTGTTCTAGGCCTCTATTTGATGGGTTAGCCGACATTTGCGGACCCGCACTTGCGGACCGACATTTGCGGATTCGCACTTGCGGACCGACACTTGCGGACCCGCACTTGCGGACCGACACTTACGGACCGACTTTTGCGGACCGACACTTGCGGACCGACATTTGCGGACCCGAAATGAATTTTTAAAAAAGATGATAAAAGACCGGTTTTAGTTATAAATCCGGAGCCAATCTTAGCAATTTTTTTTCTTTTGAACCTATCCATTCTCTTGTGCTTTTTTTAAAGAGAAAATTTTTTGAATTCTGGGGCGATATTCTAAAATTGAGGTAAGGGTAACCAACCCTCAGTTGCGGGTAAAGTGACACACAATCAGAACTCTTATCCAAAATGCGGGTAACTCTACAAAAGAGTTCTGGTTTGTTATGCAGGGAATAGAATTGTACCCTCATCTGACGTGGGTTAAAATCCTACCCGAAGCTCTTTAAAAATTAAAAAAAATATTTTTGGATATAATTTTTAAAAATTCTCGTTCATTAGTAAATTTACTGTAAGCTCTCCACATTTTTGAGATTCTGATTTTCATTTTCAAATAAATTTCTTTTAAATTTTTTAAAGTTTTATTTCTTTAATTTCTTTTTATTTTTTATTTCATTTCGGGTCCGCAAATGTCGGGTCCGCAAGTGTCGGTCCGCATATGTCGGTCCGCAAGAGTCGGTCCGCAAAAGTCGGTCCGCAAGTGCGAATCCGCAAAAGTCGGTCCGCATGTGTCGGTCCGCAAGTGCGGGTCCGCAAATGTCGTTTAGCCATTTGATGGACCTCTCTTTATAATCAACTTCCACTTCTCTCGAAGGAGGGAGTTGATTTTATTTAAAATTAGACCTACTCGATTTAATTTGTCCAAATCAGACCGGCGAACCTCGAATTTCCCACGTTTGATCCAAATTTAATTTTTCTTGTTCTAGGCCTCTATTTGATGGAGTTGATTTTATTTAAAATTAGACCTACTCGAGATTGGAAAGAAATTCTTTGGCTTTAAAAATTTTAATTTTTTGGCTTTTGCAAATATAAATCAACGTCAAGGATGTCATTCATGATTTTTTATTTCTTAATTTTTTTAAATTTTTTGTTTATTTATTTTTATTAAAAAAGCGTAGGTGTCTAATACACTTTTAAACTATGTTTGTGTGTCATTGGTATAATTTATTGATAACAACAATGGTATTTAATTGTATCAAAATAAATTAATTTATTATTCACACCCACAATCACTTAACCCCTCTTTTTTTCAGATTTTTATAAAATTAAACAGCTGTTTTACTCAAGAGTCTCTGTCC